AAGCCTAAGGGGAAAAACTGGTAAAATCCTATCAAAACATCTCTTTTTGGGGATAAAATTTCCTCCCTGCGTGGCCTTGGACTAATTTATAAAGTATGAAGCAGTCAGGATTACAGTGTGCAAATAAGATAACCAATTGAACATTTAATAATTGAAATATACAACAAAATAACTTCTTTTTCAATGGAACGCCCTGTATATTTTTACATGTTTCGTAAAAATAATTAATTCCGGATAAAGATCTCTGACACAAAACTGCTCTCAATCATTTAATAACAGATCCCCAATACATTGAGCATTCAATAGAAGTAAATTTATCCTCAGTAAAAAATTTGGGAAAATAGCTGATTAGAAAACAAAAACACGACAATGAAACTGTTTCATATTAATTTCAGCTTTTATGTTTAATCTATATTTTTTAAGTTTTTTGGACATATAAAAACTGAAACAAAACAAAAACACCAATAAACCATAATAATATACTAAACTTTAACATATTATTATGGTTTATTGATGTTTTTGTTTTATTTTACTTTTTATAAGTCAACGGCCACAGGGGTTCCAGTGCTTAACTTTTTTGGAGATTTTTCAATTTAAATTCTGAAAGAAAAATTGTAAACGACGGCATAACTCTAATAGTAGACTCCAGGAGTACTCGAGAAAATGTAAAGGACTTATAGAAATATGTATAGGGAAATCCGGGGAAAGAAAATCAAAGAGTCCGGAGTAAAATAAAAATTTCCGATATTTTTGCAAGGCACGCAATATGAATGCACGGAACTAATTTTTTTAAAGATGTTTAGCTCCAATCAGAAAGTGTCACCTTCCTTTTACTCAGAACTAGACGAAAAAGGATGCAAGTTGTTAACACTTTTCTGAACGTAGCTTTAAGAACACTTCCGATCCAAGACTTATTTTAAAAAAATGCTTTCGGTGTATCAGAGTTGTTTGTAATGCTATTTTCTGACCGTTTGACATTACCAATTTGGATTCCGATTGTTAAGTTTTATTTAGTATTCCTTACACCATCTAGGTATCTTCATTGTAATCCACTACTTGAGATGTTAGTTAATTTCTGTAGTGTTAATTATTCTACTTGTAGTGGAGCTCTACCTAGTTCTTTATTTTGCCGTTAGAGGCCTTCTATAGTTCTTTTACTTACTTCTATGTCTTGTTGCTACAGTCCACGCTTTGTGCCTTTCTGCATTTCATTTTATATCATTTTTCTCTGCTTGATCGCTCAGTTTTATTCATTCTCCTCTTCAGTAAAGTTTCAGTTCTCGAGCTGATTAGGTGTAAAATTTTCTCTTTGTAACCATTACTTATCTGACCTGTTTTGGATTTACCATAATTATCTTTGGAGTGGTTTTCTCTTTCTCTTTGATGTCTTCGTGACTCCATTAAAACGTTTTGTTACGGATTAGTAATTTGCATCTAACAAATTCGAGGTATTTTATATGTTTACGCAGTATTTTTCTTAAAACGCATGTATTTTTAAGGCTGTAACCTTCACTCAAAGCTTTTTAGTTTACTTTTAAGTTTCTCGTCGTGGTTTCTTTTGGATTACCTTTTTCGTTTGACTTACTAGTCCAGTCAAATTAGCGCAATTTTGGACAAATAAAAACATTAATCGGTAAAGATCTGAATTTTGGTATACACATTTATTGGGACTTTCTAATGAACATACTAAAAGTCCCTGTCAAAATCTGTTGCGCTCGAGACGCCATCTTGGAAAAACGGTACACTTTCCAGTTTTTTGCCCATCTCTCGGCAATTATTACTGACACGAAGAAATAGTTTACATGAAAAATATAGTTTACTAAATTCCCTATAAAAATGAGTATTTACATTTTTTTGGATCTCCAGTACTTTAGCTGTAATCTCACGTTGAATACGTCAGAACGCGTTTAGGCCCCGTATCGTAGTTATAGAAGGAGGGCCGTCTTTTTTATGACTACACCGATAGCTGTAACAGAGCCAAAAAATGAACAGAATCGTCGTGCGATAAAGCATTCTAGCAATGAGATAATGTTTGATGATACATCATGTTTTTTTCAAAAAGGTAAGCGAAAATGTGTAAGTGTTGGAGCAACGAAATGATTTCTGAAGCTGAAGAACGCCCTATCTGCATAAGTATAACGTGCCTGTTAGTGAGAGATATTAAAACCGACATCGTTATCAGACCTTCAGAATAACCTTGACCCTGTTCGGACTGCACTGAAGGCTCCCAGTCCACACTCAGTGCTCACATTGAAGATGAAAGTTCTATTGAGAGAGAGTTTTATAAGAAACCTTTAAACGTGTCTCATACCAAGCTTGAGTGCGACGACTTCGCATATATAAGAATACTGGTAGAATTTTCAATGAATTTAATGATTTGTAAAAAGTTGTAAAAAAATATCTGCGCGACTGTTTCGAGAGCTCAGGATACTTGATTCCCTATTCGATGTCGGATTATAGCTAAAGTATTGGACATACAAAAAAATTTTAATATGATTTTTTGTGGGCAATTTAATAAACTATATTTTTTATCTGAACTATTTTTCCGTATCAATAATTGTTGTCGATATATAGGCAAGAAACTGAAGAAGTGCTCCTTTTTTCCAGGATGGCGCCTCGAGCGCAACAGATTTTGACGGGGACTTTTAGTATGTCCAATAGGGAACACTAATGAACATGTATACCAAAATTCAGATCTTTACCGATTAATGTTTTTATTTTTTCTTATTTGACTGGACTATACCTGGAACCCAATTCCAATAAGTTTAAAGCATCAAAGAAACTCAAAAACCGAAATAGTCGAGAAGTCCGACGTCGATGCAAAAACTAAAGAAACGAAGGAAGCATAAGAAATTGAGGGAGGAAGAAGGAAACGGTACATTCGTATGAACCGAGGGCATACAAAAAGCAGGAAAGGCGAGGCAGTTTGGGAAATCATGAACTGAAGAAACTGTAGAAGACGAAGCACCAAAAAAATTCGGCGAAGCCGAAGAAGGAAAGAAGCTAAAGGTGTCAAAAAATTCGAAAAGTTTGAAGAAAACAAGGAATGAGGTGATGCCGAGGAAAAGCTGGAAGATGATGTAATTTAAAAAGCCTATTTACGCCGTTAGCCCTCAGAACGGTGAAGAATAAAGATGAAAAGATCGAAGAAACCGACGTGGCAATGTTATAGGAAACGAAGAGAGTCAAGATGTCGAGGATCCGCTGAAATTGAAGAAGTTAATGAAGCCTAAGAATCCTAGGAAGCGAAAAAGCATCAAAAGGCTTAAATACTGTAGCCAAAAATGATTAGGAAACCAAAAAAAATTAAAAACAGGATGATAACAAGTTGAGACTGCTGGACCAGCATTGAAAAAACCGAGGGAGCATAGAAAATCTCAATAAATCCAAAGAAGAAAGACGCCACATAATCAATAAAGTGAATAGGTCAAGAGAGTGTAGCTCATCTGGAAAAATGGTAGAAGTTAATGAAGCTTTGGTAAGTAATGGCATTAATACTGGAGAAGCCTCGTGTAAGTATGTTCAACTGAGCTAAAAAAGTGGAATTTCATTGGGTAGATAAAAACTGACCGTAGATTTTAGGACCGTGACCGACGCCGAAGTTGGAAAAGCCAGAGACTAGGGAATCCGAAAATGAGGTAGTGTTGAAAAAGATGACAAACCTGTAGAACCCAGAGATTCAAAAATGTCGTAGAAATCGATACAGCTAATGAAATCGAAGCGAAAAAGAAGTCGAGGACGTCGATAAAAGCTAGGATCTTGGAGTAGTCGGAGTGATCAAAGGAGTCTAAGTAGCCGAAAAATTCGTGGGTATCGAAAATTTCAAGGAAACCGCGGATTCAGGTTGAAGACGGCAAGAGCTAGGCAGAATTTACGCTCATAAAAAGTAGCGTGTTTCCTACAATCTTTTGATGGGTTTTTTTGTTAATACACTTGTAAAATTTGATTGACGATATAGTATTTTTTCTTCGAATGGTTAACAGTTCCAATTACCCCATGATTAAAATTACATTGTAGTAAGTGAAAGTGACAACCTCAAGCGTGGTAATTGTTATGTAAAATAATTTATGAGCGACGGTAAGTTAAAATTTTATTGATGTTCTGTCACAACTTTATGGCACACAATTGCGTATATTACCCATTGTTAAAATATTAACTTGTAATCTCTTCATTAGGACGTATGCAATTAGTGACGTTTTTTTTCAATATAACCTATTTCCTGAATCTATGAGGAATTACCCAAAGGCTATACCAGTAGAAAGCCCTACACAGCGTGGTCCAATTAAAATCGGCACTAATACAAACTCTTTATTATTAAAGCTTAAGTTACCATCTGCAAAGTGTTTTTTCTCAAGATTATATCGGGCTATCGAGATAAAGTCGTTTGTACCAAAAAAATAATTAAATAGGTCCCCCGAAAAAACGGTAGGAATTTTTTTTGGAATGCTCTATTCAGATTTCTATTCAGATGCCACATTTAGTCCAGGTCGATTCTTCATATCCCGTCTAGTGACTCTCCATCTTTGAGTAGACATTTTTTGAATAGTTTTACAAGATCAAAAAAGCATACTCAAAAACGTGATTAAAGACAGGCGCCTTCGCGTTTCCAAAATTAGAAACTAATCCGGATTCTTTGGAGATGCCCACACACAAAAATCTGTTAAAGAAGTGTAATAAATTAGACCAAGTCTTATTAGGCTAGTAACTCAAACCTTCCACAATAAAGTCAATAGTTGTTATTATGAAAGAACACTGATATAAATACCGTTCATTCTGAAAGTCCTTAAAAGTGCATTAAAAATTATGACGAAAGGGTTGACATCATTTTTGGATACCTAAATGTATGTCAGACGAAATTATAATCAACAGGAAAGTTTTGTTATTGCCAATACATTTAAGCTGTTCAAACAAAAGCCGAAAGTAATACATTATCATCTGCTTGCGCCAATTTTTTAACGTTGACTCCATCGTATTTAAATAATTTCAAAATTGGTACTCACATCAAACCCCAATTACTAGAAACTCACTGCACAATACAATAAAATTAATAACATCCCAATTCGTTATAAATAATTGTTTATGTTTCTTTTGCCAAGTGAAATGCAACAAATTGTTTATTCGACTGAATTTCCGTTTAGATTCGTTTGCAGTTTTAACGTCACCGTTTGTACATCTTTCTGTCAACATTTGGTTGGGTAATTAAGGTAGGTACGTCGATAATTTATTTTTTAATTCGGGTTCGGGCGATTGTTTATTAACGATGTGAGAGTGTTGGGTAATGTAGGTACGCATGCACTTCACATTTAATAATAATTTCTCTGTTTGCCATTCGTCACGTACACTTTATTTCAATGAGCTACTGCTAAAATTTCGTAATAACTTCTTACACTTTGATCCATCAGATTTAAGCTAAGGGGATGCATCTGTAATTTTTAAAGCTACTTAGTCATATGTTAATATAGCACGAATTTTATAATTATCTACTATTTTACCCCATAAATTTCTTTTAAACTTACCATATTATAGGATGGTTGTTGATATTTTTACTAGGATAGTAAACGGAACTACAAATAATTTGGAAAAAAAAGACTCTATTGAGATCTTTCAGAATATACTTCCATGCTGTAAAGTTTTACACTTGAAAATATCGAAATTTTGGTTTCTGATGTAAGAAAACACTAAACCTCCCTCATAATGTTGTTTAATAGAGAAAACAGATTGGGACGACTAAGTTAAAGTGACTAATTTCGGCAAATGCCTGTCTTCTGTCTTAAAATTATTTAGAGATCGAAATTTGAAGGAGTTGACAATTACATATTCAAGGTTTTACACCTGTTACATTGTGTGAAAAAAAGTTAACATAAAACTTGTTTAGGTACATCAATGTTTGGAAGTTAGATCGTTATAATAGTTATTTATGTATCAAGAGCATTAAGGCCATATTTATGCCGAGGGCGACAGAGCCCCGAAATTGTAAGTCGCCCGAGGGTTAAATATCGAGTAAAACCTGAGGTGCATACAAAATTTTATTTTTCATAACTCCAAATAATGTATTTCCAATATACAAATGTAATGATTATTTTTTTGCACAACATTGAAGTGCTTCATACGAATCAATTTAACTCCATCAATATATTTGACAGGACGTCTGAGGGAATGATGTGGTGACAGTCCATTATACTGTCAACTGAAAAATAATAGTATATTATATACCAAGGGACTAAAGTGTGTGTTTTTGTTTTCCCGAGAAATTTTGGTGTAGTGGATTTTTGGTAAAAAAGGGAGGTTATACACTGCCTTTTTTTGAGCCCCGAAAAGAAAAGGGTCTCAGATCTACCGGGAAAACAAATTTTCTTATAGAATGTGCCCTGTAGAATCCATAATTTCAAACAGTTCGAAGATTGGGCTACTAGTTCAAAAGTTACAGCCCTTTGAATTTTCTGTCGAAATTGGTTTCTAGTCTATAACTTTTGATTGAGAAGTCTGATCGAAAAAGTACGAATTGTTTTGGATTCTACGCACCAAAATTAATAAGAAAAAGTGTTTTCCCGAGAAATTTTGGTGTAGTCGATTTTTGGTAAAAAAGGAAGGTTATACACTGCCTTTTTTTGAGCCCCGAAAAAAAAATTGTCTCAGATCGACCCGGAAAAAAATTTTCTTATAGAATGTGGCCTGTAGAATCCATAATTTCAAACAGTTCCAAGATTGGGCTACTAGTTCAAAAGTTACAGCCCTTTGAATTTTCTTTCGAAATTGGTTTCTAGTCTATAACTTTTGATTGAGAAGTCTGATCGAAAAAGTACGAATTGTTTTGGATTCTACGCACCATAATTAATAAGAAAAAGTGTTTTCCCGAGAATTTTTGGTGCAGTCGATTTTTGGTAAAAAAGGAAGGTTATACTCTGCCTTTTTTTGAGCCTGAAAAAGAAATTGTCTCAGATCGACCCGGGAAAAAAATTCTCTTATACAATGTGGCCTGTAGAATCCATAATTTCAAACAGTTCCAAGATTGGGCTACTAGTTCAAAAGTTACAGCCCTTTGAATTTTTTTTCGAAATTGGTTTCTAGTCTATAACTTTTGATTGAGAATTCTGATCGAAAAAGTACGAATTGTTTTGGATTCTACGCACCAAAATTAATAAGAAAAAGTGTTTTCCCGAGAAATTTTGGTGTAGTCGATTTTTGGTAAAAAAGGAAGGTTATACACTGCCTTTTTTTGAGCCCCGAAAAAGAAATTGTCTCAGATCGACCCGAAAAAAAATTTTCTTATAGAATGTGGCCTGTAGAATCCATAATTTCAAACAGTTCCAAGATTGGGCTACTAGTTCAAAAGTTACAGCCCTTTGAATTTTCTTTCGAAATTGGTTTCTAGTCTATAACTTTTGATTGAGAAGTCTGATCGAAAAAGTACGAATTGTTTTGGATTCTACGCATCAAAATTAATAAGAAAAAGTGTTTTCCCGGGAAATTTTGGTGCAGCCGATTTTTGGTAAAAAAAAAGGAAGGTTATACACTGCCTTTTTTTGAGCCCTGAAAAAAAAATTGTCTCAAATCGACCCGGAAAAAAAGTTTTCTTATAGAATGTGGCCTGTAGAATCCATAATTTCAAACAGTTCCTAGATTGGGCTACTAGTTCAAAAGTTACAGCCTTTTGAATTTTCTTTCGAAATTGGTTTCTAGTCTATAACTTTTGATTGAGAAGTCTAATCGAAAAAGTAAGAATTGTTTTGGGTTCTACGCCCCAAAATTAATAAGAAAAAGTATTTTCCCGAGAAATTTTGGTGTAGTCGATTTTTGGTAAAAAAAAAGGAAGGTTATACACTGCCTTTCTTTGAGCCCCGAAAAAAAAATTGTCTCAGATCGACCGGGAAAAAACATTTTCTTATAGAATGTACCCTGTAGAATCCATAATTTCAACAGTTCGAAGATTGGGCTACTAGTTCAAAAGTTACAGCTCTTTGAATTTTCTTTCGAAATTGGTTTCTAGTCTATAACTTTTATTATGACCGTATAAATAGTAAATGTCAGTTTAAGTTAAAGATTCTCATTGAAAACGACGCCGTAGATATGATCGTTTAGAACTCGGAAGAATAAACCATGAGGAAACTACAGCCTCCCAAATTCAAAGAGATATATGGAAAACGGTATAATAAATTCTTTTTCTCAGAAATACTGAATCTTAGGGGGAAAAGTGTAAGGACAATTTTTATAAATAATTGCATGATCTACAATCAACATTTTTTATCATAAAACTAGCCGTTTAAAAAATTCATAAAATCCATTTTTGCGAATCTAACAGTTTTGAGCAGTACTAATGTAGGATGCCCTAACTAAAATTTGCACCATATAACCATTTTTCCAAAAATCTGAAGACTTTCATGTTTTTTTCCGATCATTTTTTGTAAATTTTTCTGTGCAGGTGTAGTAGGGGGATGCTGACTTTAGCCGGAACATCGTGTATAAAAAGTGGTTTTACTATCGAAAATGAAAGCAGTTCATATTTTAAAAAAATAATCTTTAACATAAAATACCTATGTTTGTAATGGATTTGTATTGCTAGAATAAAAAAATCAAGATACATTATTCAATATAATTAAATAAAATGTATGATTAAGACCTTGGCAAAAACTCTATCCATATGTCACCTTTCGGCGACTTACTCAGGTGGTAAAACTCCTTTCCTAATGGAAATACCGTTTTCTCGTGAATTTTAAGCGTAAAGTTTAACAAAAGCGTAACGAGTATCATCTTCATTTGTACCACCGCGAATTTTTTTCCTAAAAGTTGCCATTTATTTCACAGTTGAAAACCAAAACCTTTACCTAGGCAAACTCTTGGACCATCACCAAAACCCAAGTACGCATTCTTAGGTCTCGATTCCATTATGTGCTCGTCGAAAAACCGGTTGGGGTCAAATTTTGATGAGTTGGGAAAATACTTTTCGTCTCGATGGATTGCTTCAATTGGAACGAAGATGTGAGTCCCTTTTGTTATTGTTACGGGTTTGCCGTGCCCAGCGCGAGGTGCGGGTAGCACGAAGTCCTTTGTACACTTGCGATTTATGAACTTAATCACTGTATGCTTTCGAACCGTTTCTAAAAGCCGATAGTAACGGAACCGTGTACCGAGAACGCACTTACCATGGATTATGCTGTCTAGGTATACCATGCTCTTCAGGGCTTCATATGAGTGCACGGTGTTGTGGGTTTTTAACGTAACCTCCACCTCCTTTCGGGCAGTTTCTTGTACAATAGGGTTTCTGGTAACTTCCAAAAGTGTGTAAATAAGCGCGTATCCACTTGTTTCAAAGCCATCAAGGAAAAATGACATGGCGTAGCCGAAATAATTGTCGTCTGTAAATTTAATATTAAAATTGGGCGACCTAACCACCTAGGGGTTTACCGTTCTTCTGTTTTGATTCTTTTAGGAAATTAGCAAAGTCGTTATAAGCATATGTGCTGTCTTCTCTATAGGTAACCACCATTGCGATGAGCTCCTTGAATTTATCAGGCACTTGCTTTCCCAAGTACCTTATTAATCGTTACATTTTGTTAGCAAGCAATAGTTTACTTACGATATTTGAAATAGCTTGCATAATTTTGGGAAGAATAATCCACTGGTGTGGAACAACGAGCCTATCTTGGTACTCATGGACATCTCGTCTCTGATCTGCTCCATGAGGGAGGTACCCGTGATAAAAGATTTGCCATCCAACCCGTACGCGCAAGCCATGACATTGTCTCCCGTAAATTTAAACGAAAGATCCGTAGCCTTTACGCAGTAATTTTTACGCTTCAAATACTCCAGCATTTCCTCACAAACCTTCTCTATGTGGACGAGCATGCCTTTAATCTGAAAATAGAAAGAATAAACCCCCATGCGTGGTTCTTACTGTGTGAAAACCTTCGTTTTGGTCAAATTCCCAACCATCTCCCTCCGAAGCGTTTTCCACCTATCCCTCTCGACAAATCCAGGGTGTATTGATGCAATCGGATCGGCAATCTCAATCATTGTATCCGTGAAACTATCGAAATTGCGGATGAGTAGGTCGGATATCAGATCAGGATCTCGTAGAACAACGGCGGGTGTTAAACAATTGTAGATTCCCACATACGAGTATCCCTCATATTCTCTAAAAATCAACTGCAAAAAGGTATTCCGCAAAGTTCCTCACCTATAAACATCTTTAAAGAAATCGGTCAATGTACGTTGCCAAGTTATCATTTTTCCAATGTTCCCAAGGATGAGCGAAGGTTTCGGATTCGGTACGCCCCTTTCCTCCCAGTACGAATATTTCTTTTTCACATACCAGGTGTAGAAAATAGTAAAAATCAGCAACAAAATCGAAATAGTGACAAACATTTTACTACTGTTGCTGCACTAACAATTAAAAGTAGCACAACAGCTCTTATCGTTATGATGAAATGTTACAAATCTTCATGACCTAAAGACCAAAGGTGAAAGTCTAAATATAACCTGATCAAAATACGCAGCATGCTGTAATTTAATCTATATATAGATCATAGACCACGGAAGGGAACCTTTTCAACTATGACTGGGAGATTTCGATCCAAGGCCAATAAATATTTAGAAATTTTGTTATTAAAGGTACAATGATTCTTGTTTTCTTGATTTTTCTGGGGTATTTCGTACATTATTGGAAGAAGGATTCTGGATTATAGACTTTTCCAAAGATTTTGACGAACCATTAACGGGTTCAAGTGCTTTCCAAATTGTTTATTGATTCTCTCCATGGTTATCTAGAGATCCATTAAAAATTCTACGCTACGAGATTTCTAAAAAAAATTGAAATCATTTCCGAAAAGCTTGTGCAAACACAATTTGTAGCAAATATCAAAACCACAAAAAAGGCACAAAGAAATGAAACAATAAAAAGTTTTTACGTTTTTGAGTGATTTTCTAAAAACAATACATCGTTGAAACACAACCTAATGTGTTAGATGCTCGGCTACGACCAGGAGGATCCCACGTTCAGATCCGAAATCAAGATTCCACAGGTTCGTTTTGCTTGAGATAATTCCTGAAAAATTTTGAGAAATTCTAGTATGAATTTTCAAGGGTTACTTGGAGCTTCTCCACACTCTTCAGTGATTTAATGGGATTTTCGTAGAATGTTCAGTACTTCAGTAGAAATTTCGAGTGGAAGAACTCTGAGGGATGGAAAATTTCCAAAGAACCTTTATAGTCTGGAATCCAGACGAAAAAGCTGGAAGTAAGGTACGGTGAACATTTTTTTGCGGTTTTAGGTCACTAAGTAGGTCTATTTTAAGAATCCGATTGATGCCACTCTGTCACCCTTGTCACAACGACATCATTTTAATAAAAAGATAATAATTATAACAAGTGCGATACGATGTGATTTTAATTTTTGATAAATACTACGATTACAGTATTAAATCATCCACTAGAACCAGTCGAGCAAAACATTCTGCTAGACGTTATGTTCTAACAGAACAAACGATACTTCCCTCTCAACCAGTAATTTTGACTTCTACCAAAAATAAAAAAACAATTAATTAAAATTCTGATTTAATATATTGTTCAAAATGTACAGTATACTTTTGGGAATCGCCTTATTTTAATAGGAGAGTCAATAAATCCAACTGAAATAGAAAATAGTACAAAAACCGAAAGACCTGATTTGGCAACTGAGCACGAAGAAGCAGATATCATTTTAACGATGCAATTTATATTTGAAGTCCAAAAAAAACCTGATATCGTTGTTACTATCCTATGTGATGATACAGATGTTTTTATCTTATTATTGTACTATTATCAATTGCTTAAATTTCAAAATGAGGTATTTATGGTGTATTTTAAATCTACGCGTGCAACAACTGATATTAAAGCAACAGTGAAAAAATATCAACAAATTATCTCCTATTTACCAGCTGCTCATTGTCTATCTGGATGCGACACTGTAGCTCAGTACCACGGAATTGGCAAAAAAACAATAATTAAAAAAATAGAAGAGGGTTTTACTGTTAAATATTTGGGTAAATTAGACAGTAATTTAAAAGATGTATTTAAAGAGTGTACCGACTTTATTGCAGCCTGCTATAACGTCAAATCCGTAGACAATATGACGGCTGCAAGACTGTCTGCTTGGGCAAAAAAAGTTGGACATGCCCAACTAAAAGCACCCTTATTTGCTTCTCTACCGCCGACGACCGAATCTTTTTGCGAAAATGTGAAAAGGGCGCATCTTCAGATGTACTTCTGGATGTCTGCCCAAAACCTTGTTCTTCCTAAAATTGACGTTACGCAATATGGATGGGAAAAAGATGACGAAAACAAAATTTTAAACCCAATTTCTGTCCTCAAAAATACTAAATTGGCACCAGATTTTATTCTAGAGCTTGCTAAATGCTCTTGCAAAGCTAATGACCCCTGCAGCTCGAACAGATGTGGTTGTCTATCAAATGGGGTGTCATGTAGCCTGATGTGCAAATGCATGATGGATAAAAGGGACGAAAATAAATGTAAAAATCCACTAACAAAATTTGTGGAAACTGCGCAAAATGAATCCGAAAGCAAAGAATCGGACAACGAGTAAATTTATGCTTATCTGCAATATTTTTTTTTGTTTGCTTGTTATTTTTTTGTTTAAAAATGTATTATATCTGTAAGTAATGTATTTGAGTTTGAGTTAATATATTTATTTTTTAATTTTTATTTTATATAAGAATAAGAATAAGATTTTTTTTATTTTTGCTCAAGTACAGCAGCAGAGTAGTTGAACTGAGCAGCAGAGTAGTTTTATTCAGTAGTTCCAGCTTTCCCCCTCAAGCAGCTCCCCCCCCCCCCAAAAATAATTAACAAATAGGAGTTTCTGTACCTATTTTGATCTGAAATTCGAGATTCTTATTCATAAAAACATATAAATTGATGTACGACTCGTTAATATTGAAAAAATATAAAAACCAACCCCCCAAAAACAGCCCCCACTCCACCAAAACGCCCCCAAAAAAATTTTAACAGCAAATTTGAATTCACAAGGCCCGAAAACCCTAAAATGGATGTGCTATATGCCCATATTTTTTAAAACTTTAATTTTTGTATTTTTTGCTGACTTTTTTGGCCGCCATCTTGAATTTCTCAAACTGCTCAAGGGTGTCAATGTGGCATCAAACGGATTCTCAAAGTAGACACGAACTAAAAACCGTCATAAACCTTCACCGTACCTCATTTCCACGTTAAGTCAAAAATCCCAGTTTGGCATCCAGACTATTACGTAAACTCTAAACAGTAACAGATATTTGGACAGATCTCTGAAAAATTATTTAATCATCTTAGAAGACGAGGAAATCAGGAAAACCAAGAAATTTCAAAAACTATCAGAGATTATTACCAAAAGTAAATTTGTTTTTGGAGGAGCTAAAAGATGACACAAAAATATTCAGGGTGTTCGACTTAAAAAAAGTGAAATTCTTTAATATAAAATTTTGTAACTTTAGACCTACAAAGAAAACACCCTGTAAATTAACTTTAAATTGTTTCATGGTGATATTTATTTGACTTTTACTTTACCCAGAATAAAATATATAGGGCCTGGAATCAAAATTTAACTATTGATTGTGACTGACTCTTATAAATTAGAATTAGAATTAAAAAATGCGTTTTTTTTTTAAATGTATCTTTGTACCGCCTTACTTTTTGAACTTTGTTGAAGGGGCTCATGAAATAATCTACTGTTTAATAATAATAATAATAATAAATGAATAAAATAGTACAGCTTATGACATGGTTGCTGCTAACACCCACCACTCCCTAAAATTACTGTTTATGTGCAAAAATAAGTGTTTAGAAACACATTACACCTTCACAAACTTTAGCCAAATATCTGGTTCTGGTGAATAGAATATGTTACAATTTCCCGATTTCACCGGACGATCCATTTTCTCGCTTAATTCTACTGTAAAGTCAGACAAAATTGCTATTAATCCCATCTTGATCGCCGCCATTGCAAATGGTTTGCCTAAAATTTTTGAGTTAGTCAGGTTGTAACAAACACTCACAAAGTACCTAAACATAACTTTGGTCCGTCGCCAAATCCCATAAAAATTGAACGTTGAGTGTTATCCTGAAAACGATCTGGATTGAATTCGGTCGGATTAGGATAGTGTGTGGCATCTCGATGCATTTCTTCCATTGGCATAAATATTTGCGTGCCTTTGCTGATCCTGACATGTTCCCCATCCTTCCCGAAGAATGGGGAGGGCAACGTCACGTCTTCCAGGCAAACTCGTCCCATCAATCGTATCACAGTGTATAACCTTAAGGTCTCTAAAAAATGAATCTTGTAAGCGCCAGATGGCCGACTGTCCTCAACAGTACCGTAAATCACTGATTCAGTGTAGTCTAATTCTTGCAGAGCGTCGTAAGTGATTTCGTTACTATGTCGTTTCAGTGAGCGTTCCATTTCACGTTTGACTTGCTCTTGAACGGCCGGATTTTTTGCGAGCTCCAGTAAAGTACACGAAAAGGTTATCGCGGTCGTTTCGGTACCATCGAGAAAAAACGTAAAAGCGTGACTCACTAATTGGTCTTCACTTGTAACTGTAGGAAAGTAAAGTGGTAGTCAATGTGAAAATCCAAAGATACTCACAGTGAGGTACTCCCATTGATTTCAATTCACTCAAATGGTCCAGATAGTTCTTAGAGGTTACCCCATTATCTTTTCGGTACTTGACTACAGATAGTATCATTTCTTTAAAGCTACTCGTAATGGGTCCACCTATGAAACTTCAGGAATGTCATGAAATGTAGAGAAATGGGGACAATATTACTCTTACGTGCATTTTATTAGGTTTCCAAGGCTAGGGAACATCATTGCAATCATTTGCTTTACTTTGCCCAGTTGGTTTCTAGTACAAATCTGTTCAGCAACTTCCAGTGGATGCGGGCATTTATCACTGAACGATCCGCCATCGACTCCATAAGCATAATGGTAGACGCTTTCGCCCGTAAATTTCAGGGACAAATCTCCCACATTAATCTCATCACAGGATTCTCTTAGTTGACCTTTAATGTAGTCCATCATTCTGCCATTAACATGTACCATATTCGGAATAACGTTTTTCATCTTGAACAGTATAAAGAAAACCAACTCATGACAGTAACACTTACTTTTGCACCAGTAAACTGTGAGGTCAGTTTGCCTCTCACATCTTTCCATACCTCCCCGTCCAGAACAAAGGGATTTAACGATAGCGTACGATCCACATTGTGAGGTACATGAATCCAAACGCCAAAGCTTCTGAATTGTCTTATTAGTACTTCTTTTATGATTTCCGGGTCGCATACCAGAATTGCTGGTGACCACATGTTAAAAAAACCCACGTATCGATATCGATTGTATTTCCTAAAAGCCAAATTTTCTTTTAGTAGGCGATGGTTAGCGGGGGACTACCAACGAGTAGCTAAAACTTTATCTTAATCTTTCTTAGAAAATAGTCATAATAATTATCAATTATTTAATGATCGATAAAACATTTGCAATTTCTGTTTATAATGGCATTCAATGAATACTATTCAGACGAAATGCTCACACTCTTCATGGTTCGAAAAAAATGCAAGGAAAGGTCTACTTTGCTAAATTTCAACGATTACCTTTGAAAGGACGACCTAATTTTGGTTGTAGGACAATTCCCACCCGAATAATTCGCACCAGAATTTCGCTCCCCTGAGAGGGTATTTTGTGTATGGTTGACTTTTAACATAGAAAGTCGGCTGTTAAGTATTAAATTAACTCAGAGCTTGAAATCTCCAAAATTACTCACCAATATAACGTTTTATTACTTTGTGCATGTAATAGACGTATACCTACATTTAAAATTTGGATACTTTCAATATTAAGGTATAATTTGGAATCGTGACGTCCATTTTGTGTTCAAACTCTAAATGGGATAATTTATTAATATTGAATAAAAGTTCTGTAAACCGTTCCCATATAATTTAATAAAACGAAGTGATACACTACATGTTTCGACCAACGGTTATCTTCAGGTGATCTACAAGATGGTAGAGATCATTGAGGAGAGACTATAACTATAAAACTTACAATATAGATGGAAAACAATTAAAAACCCAAAAGGGCAGTAAAACTGGAAAGCCCAACGACCATATCCGTGGTTGGTTCCAGAGTAAAATTGATATTTGAAGAGGTTGATAAACTAAATTTTTTGCAAGGGAGGGCCGAACCTAAAAACTAACATTAGACGACGGTATAAGCAACGATGAAACTTACGTATAAAAAAGTCAAAAGGTCAAAAGACGATATCCTAACTAATAAAATACCCAATTAAGGGCTTTGAAACTGGAAACCATCTGCACTTCCAAAATCAGTGCTCGGTTTAGCTAATCTTACCTTGTCATCGTTGACCCAGATCCTGGCATTGCATGTTAAACTAAGAGCCAATGGATCCTTCTTTGCTCTTCTCACTCGACACAGCCATGATGAGCAGTTTTGGAGTTTAAGGTTCTTAGCAAAGAGGTACATGTATCCTTCATAGATTATGTATCTCTTTCCCCTTTTCGTTGTACCGAACTCCATTGTTACGCGCCCGTATAGTTTTGCACCGCCTAAATCTCATATCCATTATCAACTTTTTGTAACAAATCAAATTTCAACTTTTAGCCTCAGGGACAAGTCCATTTTTGATGATATTTTCCTTGATTTTGGCATTTTAATGTGGCACTTAAATATTTATGTTGGTTAAACAATAGCCATACAATTTGTAGAGGAATAATTTTTTTAATAGTATTTATGAGGCTAGAATTCATACGTACAATCCTATGTACCGTTTTAAATGGAATGGACCGTATCAAAGCAGTAGAGATATTAGGTCACTTTAATAGCATCCATATCACTCAAAATCTGGAATTTAGTACTTATTTTATTGTAATCTCCGTATTAAACATGAGAACACTTGCTAAAGGTACCATGAATGAAAATTTATTAAAAAAAAAAAACAAAAAAAAAGGTAAAAAGACACTCATCCGTGATGTAAATTGTCCATGCACTCATGTTCACAAGTAGACGGATGCTGCTAAACGCTGGTATCGGTCTATCAGCAAAACTGTCACCTGACATTTCTTAAACCTATTTACCCAGTTTTATTGTACCAATTCACAATCAAGGTTTTTTTCATTTGGAAACCTTTTAGCACGTACAAATAATATTGCAATAGGAATATAAAAGTCTAAATAAAATTATTATTATTTGTTAATAGCTGCAAGTTCTCTAACCTTCGATGTCGTCCATTTAAAGGACACAACGAAATACGTATGTATTGTCTTAAAAGAATCTCAAGTAAATTATAATCATATTTGAACGTAAAACAAATAGATTCTTGAGAGTTTCCGTAAAATTAAAGAGATAAGAACTGTAAAGTAACGAAAAAAGCAAAAAAATGTTGATAAATATCGTGAAAAAAATTGATCTTGCTATAAATTATATGGCTATTATTTAAATAATATACTGAAATTGTGAAGATCCATGACTCTCAGTGGGGTGCTTAAGAAGCTTCGGAGAAATAACACCAAAATCTACCCATTTATTATTATAACAATTTTTATGGGGAGATTTTGGTGTTATTTCTCCGAAGCTAAATAATATACGGTGGTGCATTAGAAACCATACATATATATTTCTGTAAATTAAAATAATTTTCAAAAAACGCTTTAGCACGTCAAATTGATCATGGAAGGAAGCAGTGTCTAAAATAAAACTTGCTCACTAATGTCTTTGTCTCGCATCGCTGACAACCCTTAAAATCTTAAATGATGCATCGTTGGTAAGGTCGCCCATCTCTGAATTCGGATATGTAATTTTTTTGGTTTAGTTGTTTCATTTCCAGTGCATTCGACGTTGCAAGTACAAGTTTTCTCTTTTTTATACCACTTGCAACTGCATAATTTTGACGCACGATCGCATTAGCTTCTATTACATAGTGATCGGCATCCTTCCAATGATATAAACAACAGCGCGCCCTCAACTTACTTTTAAAATATTTCGAAAATATCAAATCTAAAAAATTATAGTCTCACCAAATTCAGAAAAGGAAAGTCTTTCCAATGATTTCCTATCTTCCTTGTTGCGCAATTACCAATGCTAAGGGTTTTGCTTTAGTACTAGGTATGCCATATAAAAAATAAAAAGGAAGTATATAGGTACTTAATAATTACAAACATTTAAAAGAAAAAATCATCAATATCGAACTATTCCTAAAACGTTTCAAGATTTTCAAAACCCTTACTGTTTTGATTATTAACAATCTCTTAAAAAATGCCAGAATTTTTCCATGTACCTCTTGATATATATATATAAATAACAGTAAGAAAATCAAAAAGAAACTTTTAAGTTCATTCACTACCATAGTTGTAGCAAAGATAACGCAAAAAAATAAACAGTTAGTGTAATTTTACTCAGTCACCAAGAATCATCATATAGCCATATGTGGTCAAAGAAACGTAAAACTGGTTCTAAGAAAACTGGACACTTACCTTTCTAACATCATCACAACACTGCCACCAGAAATAAAATTTTTTAAAATTAAAAAAAAAGTATACACAAAATCAAAACCCGTGCTCAGATAAATTTTAAAATACCACTCTATCAAACCTTCAAGAATGAAGATACTATACAGGCGTTAAAGTTCTAATTAGTTGTGGTCATACATACTTAAACCTGATTTTTCAAACCTAATTACTTTTACCTTGTAATAAACCCCATTCATCTTTTAGAAATAATAGAAAGGATGTCATTACGATATTTCTCTTATTGTTTCTTTATGAAGTGCAATTTGTGTTATCGGGGTCTTTTCAAATTTACCTTTAATTATAATATTATCTTATGAAATGCATTGTTCTATTGTCATTTATACATACTCGTTTTGTCTAAAAAAAATTTAATTCATTTCCTTTGTCACCCTTTTCAACTAAAGAAATAAAGAACAATTTTTTATGTGTCTTCATTAAGAAATCTTTATGTAAGGGAGTGGCGAATATTACACATAATATTGTAGATATACTATAACTAGGTATAACTATTTGGTATTTAATTACTCCACAAAAGACGTTTCAGTTACCTATTCTTATTTTCTCAAAACGAAAGCGCAGTAGATAAAAATTATGTGTTCTTAAATTACAGGATTTAACTATATCAGACTCTTCATACAACTTAAAAAAAAAACAGCGTGATTATATTTAAGAAATGGAAATACTTAAAGAATCGCGATGTGTTGAAAATGAAAGACCAAATAACTATTATTTGAAACATTTTTCCATGAAGTAGATGTTTACCAATATGTGCACTACTACATACATTCTGTAAAGGCAATCGTCTAGTAGCCTCTTAAAAATATTTAATTTTAATAAACCAAAGATTTACAGAATTATCCGGGTGTGAATTATTCGGGAGCGAATTTTTCGAGTGCGAATTGTCCGGGCGCGAATTGTCCGCACACGCCTAATTTTATATACACCATTAGTAGATTCAGGTAAAAGCTATATTTAATGCCTTCGGAAAAGGGATGCAAGTATATGGTGAACGAGAAAACTGTGGTCATCCTTTTGTTAACGCGTAAAAAGTGCACTCACCGATACAAATCGCAGCAAACCTCTGATATATTACGCTGCATAGTTAATACTTTCAGCATACTTCCAAAAGGAAACATTGGTTTCTCGTATGGCACATGACGATTTTTCCAATACGTGTAGTACCTCACTTTACACCAAAAATAAATAAAAAATGCGATCAATAATAGAACGTACAAAATCATCTTTCTCTACAGTTGTTGCTGCAGTGATAAGTTCCCATTGAAAATACCCTACGAATCGACGCAGAGCTAATCATTGATAACATAGTTTAAAGAGCATCAAAGCTTATTATTTATTTAAAGTATCATTGCTTGATTGGTTCGATTGTTTTTTTCAATATGGTACCGATACTACTACCAGTCGGTTTTTAAGTCAAAGGCCTTAAAATCGATAGCTAACATGAATAGTTGTTATCACACCGGCACGTCAAAGTCTTAAATTAAAAATTATGATGAAACATTTTTTTGAAAACTTTAACCGAACGCCGAAACATCTAAAATATACATGGAAAAGGGGGCAAAAGGACATAGTATAACTCGGGTACACGTACCTACAGGTCTGAGAGGCCAATAGGTACATTTAAAAAAACGACGTATCTGGATTCTGGAGTACGATAGGAGGGTATACGAAGTGGAAGTAATAAAATTGAACAAATTAAATTAAGAACGGACGCATGGTATATTTAATTTTCTTTTGGCTATCGATTTCGGGTATCCCCATCAGGCTTAACTGAAATTAACATACATAGACATTTGTTTACCGTCAATTAGTTAGCAATTACTGGGATTTAGCATCACCCCAGTAACACGACACCTGCCGACATTCAATTTAATGAAAAATTTCATTTTTGCTGCGGATGCTAATATAAATATTCTGCATGATACGAATGACGTTAATCTTTATTTAGGTTGTTTGGCTAGCGTTGGTTATAAACCCGTAGTAAATGAAGCAACTAGAATTGTTGGTAGCAGTAAATCTTGCATTGACCACTTTTTTATTAGATTCTCAACTGATTTTTTGGTCCAGTATACTACAAAGCTGTTGCACTTGGGTATTTCTGATCATTCTTTGGTCACTCTTGATATAATAGTTAATCATAATTTGTCTACCTGTGACACCAGAGAGCCCAAAAGGAAGATTAATTTTAATAGACTCGTAAATACGTTGGGTGAAACAGATTAGAGTCCTGTTTATTCAAAAGAAACAGTTTCGTTAGCTTTTGATACTTTCTTACAAATATTAAATAAAGCGCTTGAGGATAGCCGTTATGATTTGTCTGTGAGCAGTAAATTTACTAAACTTAATCCATGGATAACAACCACGTTACTCAGTCGGGTCAAAAAAAGAAAAAAAACTTTCTGAATTAGCAAATTGCCATCCCAATAACATAATCTTAAGAAATCACTACATTCACTTTAGAAACAGGCTTAAACGTACTATATGTTAAAATAAACGAGTGTGGTGGAAATACGAGAGCTCAATGGAACATGATAAATTCGTTTATTGGAAAAAGAAATAAAAACCCTGTAAATTCAGAAATATACTGCGGAATCTACACTTTACAAACCCGAAGATATAGCATCTGCTTTTAATAATTATTTTTTAAATATTCCTAATAGTTTGCGAAATAGCCTGTTAATGTCAGGAACGTGGAGTTAATTTTTCCTTTTCCTGAACAGCAAAATTCTATTTTTTCTTGTACCTACTGATCGTGCTGAAGTTTTGGGCTTGATTTCAAGTCTTAAAACTGCTGCTGTGCTGATAGCATTACTTCATCCGTGGCTAAAAAGATCTAATTTTTTATTGCCGACATCTTAGTGTATTTATATAATTTTAGCTTTCAATGTTGCGTTTTTCCGAATTGTCTAAAATTAGCGGTTGTCATTCCTCTGCGCAGTGCCTGTGCCAGTAGTCTAAATAATTTTCGTCCGATTTCCTTGCTCTATACTTTTTCTAAGATTTTGGAGAAACTTGTGAAAAACCATTAATGGGGTTTCTCAATTCAAATTGTTTTTTTAGTAAACACCAGTTTGGTTTCAGGAGTGACCTTTTAACCGAGGATGCTTTGATTAATTTTCTTCATGATATTTATGAAAGCTTAAATAACAGTAAACAAAACTGCTGCCATATACATATTGACATAACCAAGGCTTCTGATACGGTTGACCACCGTATTCTTTTAGAAAAGTTGTGGCGAGAGGGTTGTCCCATGAATGGTTTTCCAGTTACCTCTCTCAAAGAACGCAGTGTGTTAGAATTGGAAACTATCTCAGCGAAGAAGGTTTATTGGAGCATGGGGTTCCTCAGGGCTCAGTCTTGGGACCGGTCTTATTCTTGATTTATATTAATGACATCTGTGATGGGAATTTTTTAGGCAATATCACTACGTTCGCTGATGATTTGGCTCTTACATATTCTGAATATTCACACGCTTCTCTTCAAGCTAGTATGCAATGTGCCTTAGAACTACTGCGCAATTGGTTCGACAAAAATTATATGGGTTTGAGTGATAAAACTTAAGTACCCAATTTTTTCTCTTAAAGAAAACATAATCTTCCAAAGTCCGTGTTACTTTTATGATTTAAACTGCACATAATCTTCCAAAGTCCGTGTTACTTTCATGATTTAAACTGCACAAACAGATTAAATTATTCTTGTGCAAATTGAAAATATCGAAAAAATTAAATACCTGGGGTTAATCATTAATACTATATGATCTTGGAAGGAGCATATCAGTAAATTAAAGCAAGAAATGTTTGGTGTTCTTCGTAAGTTTTATTTCCTAAGGAACGTTTGTCCAGTAAATGTTCTAACAAATATTTATCATGCTCTTGTGAGTTCTAAGTTAGGTTACGGGCTGTGCTGCTTCGGTGGTACGTATACTTCTAATCTTTACCCTATAATGGTTTTGCAGAAAACCGTAATAAGGGTAATTACTAGAAATAGTGAAATGACACACTCATGACCAATTTTTCAACAGTTAAAAATTCTATCTTTACGACATATGTACGTTTTCAAGGTATTGAAACTTTTTTACATTAGAAGCAGTAATAATTTTGCAATTTTGATAAGCAGCATAATCTAAGACATACTTTACCAGCTACAGTTCCTCGTTCAAAATTAACTCTGCATCAACAATTTTTGTTCCTGTAATAATTATCGTATCAATTCAATGAAATCGGAATAAATCAGAAACTGTTAAAGATAGCTATAGGAACATGTAACATCAAAATATGTCAATTTCGATTCTCTATCTGTTAATCTTTGTATTGTATGTTTTGGGTTCGTGGTACCTCAATTGTACATAAATTGATTCAATTTATTTATTTCGTACAGAGCAGAATCTCTAATGACACTCTAACTGAAAAATAATAAATATGTAACTAAGTAACACTGCTGAGCAACCAAAACAACCGACATATAACAACTCCCCTCTTCCTAAATAAAATAATATTTAACATTTCTTATAAATCAAATCTAACCCGTGCTTTTCTAGTTCCGATAGAGCGCCTTAACACCGGAACATTTGCATTATCGGTCATTGTTGGGTGAATATGATCACTTTGATCGTGCGCAGAATCTTGCATAGGTAATTCCTTATCGGTTGTACTTTCTGATTCCAAAGTTCTATTACTGTCAACTTCAGGTACTACGTTGATATCATCTTCTGGGATCTCTTGAATATTATATGGTAAAAATCGCTCAGAAGGAGTATTTTCTCCAATTTCTCTCATTTGATTTATGTGTCTACGCCACTGTCTACCATCGTCTAATTTAACCGTATAATGTAATTTCCCAAAAGTTTGTATTACTGTCCCAAACTTCCATTTCTCATGAAAGTAATCTCTTGTACTACTCTTGTACCAACATTAATTCTACGAGATTTTATGTAATGTTCCACTGAACTTGTAACTTTCGACTCGGGTCTTATCAAATCTATTCTAGATCGTATCTCCCGATTAAACATTAAATAAGAAGGTGAATGTCCAGTGGTTGAATGTGGCATTTTCCTATACTGAAGTAGAAATTTACTCAATTCAAAATTTCGAGTATTTCCCTCACACTTCATAGTTTTTAGTGCTTGTTTCATAGTCTGAACATATCTCTCAGCCAACCCATTGGTTGCTGGATAGTATGGAGCTGAAAGTTTTTGTAAAATTCCATTTTGTTTTAGAAATGTTTTAATGAAGTAAATTGGCTACCATTGTCACTTACAAAAACTTTCGGTATTCCAAAAGTCGAAAATATTTTCCTACAAATTTCAATTGTACCTTCACTAGTAATGTCTTTGGTAAAATGAATTTCGGGCCAATTTGAATATGAATCCACCAATATAAAATAATAGCCCCCATTTAACGGTCCTTCAAAATCGGCATGTACCCTGTCAAATGGTGCTTTTGAAACTTCCCATGGGTGAACTTCGACTTTTTTTACTGCGTGCCAACCCTTTCATTTTCACAACACCAAAATGTGAAGTGTGAAGCTCTTCCAATACTTCCCTGCGTAAAACAATTGGTATAACTAATCTAGATCCTCTTAAAATACATCCGTTTTGTACCGTAAATTCACTTTGACCTAAATTAAATCTTAATTGTTTGTCAACTACCTTCCCTGAATTTAAACCTTGTAGTAAAGGTCGTAATGTATCATCATTATAAGTCTCCTCCGCTAATCGTTTCACTGTAACTGGTAATGTTTGTATTTGATTTAATTCAAAAATATCGGGACATCACGTCTGCATTTGCATTTAAATGAGAACGTTTGTAACGTATTTCGTAATCGAATGTTTGTAAATAGGTACAATGCATAATGTTGCATTCTAGTTGAACTTAATACTGGTAAAGACTTTGCCGGATTAAAAATTTGTACTAATGGAGCATTCAAAATAAAATGCCTACAATATAAATACTTATAGAATTTCTTTACCCCAAATATTATTCCATATGCCTCTTTGTCTATCTGTGAATATTTACATTGTGTATTGGTTAATGTTTGTGACGCAAATTGAATTGGTTTTTCAGATCCATCTGGATAAATATGACTAAGTACAGCCCCTACACCATATTGACTCGCATCTGTAGCTAGCACAATTGGTAAACTGCTATCAAAATGTACCAAAAATGAATATGCTTGCATTTAAATATGTCCGTGGAATCCCTAAAATTATTAATTTAAACTAAATGTGCCCAACACTGCAGTGACATTAGAGTGCTATTTCCAAAACGTGCGAGGTATGCGGTCGAAGGT